AGCCGGAGGTATTATAATGTCCAGTTGTATTGAGTTGATATGAAAATCAACATATCTGTACATCAAACTATCATTGTATTCTTTTTGATAATCTTTAGGATCTGATGATATATAAAACTGAGTATGTGGATGTGTTTGTTCGTAAGGAAAAGAAAAATAAAAGCGAAATAAAATAAATAAAAGTGAAAAAATAATAAATATGATGTAATCATGATTATATAGCTATGTACTGTACAAAATATTGACAAAGAGTTTTATTAACTAATGGTAGTTGTAGAAATTGCCTAAAATCAATGTTCAGTGGCACATATCATCAAATTAAAATCACTAATATAAAATTCATCTATGATCCATTTCATAACAGTATGACAGCATGAGTCTGAGTGTGCAAATAAACTAACTTTGATTACTCTATCAAGTTTAAGTGCCATATATAAATAAGAATTGTGCCCATTTCTAAGTTCACGGATTGAAGTAGTACCCTCGTATTCCTCTTCCATTACTACTAATCTCATATGTGATGAATCAATATTATATAACTAAATAAAGAAATGGACCAGATCAATGGAGGGAGAACAATATAAATGACCTTCCTCTTACTTCTCCTATATGTTGTTTTAATTTTTCAACAGTCCAACCATCATAACCTCTCACTTGTTTAGCTGGTCCTACTTCACCAGTTGACAGATCAACCACTGATACTTCTAGATTAATATCTACACCATCAAACACATATGTACATAAATTGTCAATCAAGGCGGATTTACAATATTACGCTAGTCCTGACTCCTGATGTTACGTTGATGCAGGAGTTGAATTTGGTTCAACTCTAGCATAAAGTATGCATCAAAAGGTCAAATCACCCACGCTTTTGATTTAAAATTGTTGGGCTAGTGTCATATTGTAAATCTGCTTTTAATAGTCATGTAACTAGTGGCAACCACACCTACCTATGCCCTTGTAGATGCTAAAGATTTCATTTTCTTTACGAGTTTCTAAGAATAATGCAAAAGAATAATAACCTCTAGCTCCACCTAGAACTAGCTGCCTGATAGTTTGATGCTGAAACTAAATTTAACATAAAGATTAACGCATGATATAATCTCGTCACCCAACCCCTCCTCCAAAAGCGAAGGGGTGGGGCACGAGACTATACATGATAATTTTACGATCAATAAAACTCACTTCATCAAGATCAAAGGAATGATCCATTACTTTATCAACATAATTATATTGAACTAAACGACATCTCTCAATAGGAATATGAGGAGCTAATTCCATTAACTAATAAAGAAATGAACAAAAATGGAAGGATAAGTAGAAATAGATCATTGACAATTAAAGATAATGAACCTCATAAGCTTTATCCAGTACTGTGGGTAGTAATTCATCTTTATGTACTTTAAGTATTTTCCTCACTAATTCACCAGTAACAGGATGATTACAATATAAATCAATCTATAAAATAA